CTGCCCACAATGCAGTGCCAAGTGGGATTGTACTTCTTGTCAAACTCCTTCTTGATGTGGGCCGCAATGTCCTTCTCGATGTTGTATTTCTCCAGCGCCTGAGTCGCGCACTCCACCGAGTCCTGTTGCATCTCCTCCGACATGTCGGCATTTTTGATCACGGCCTTTCGGTCGCACATGGTTACCTGGGGTGCGAGGCCCGGGCAGGGGTGAGAACTTGGGAGGGGGCGCGCCTCTGAAGTACCCGCGCCACACCCGGGACGACGCCCCCCACCCCCAACCCACTTCTCAGGACGCGCGAGCCACTCGGCGAGAGAAGGCTGCCGGGGGAAAGCCGAGGCCCAGCTGCGAGGGTCCCCGCCCAGACCCGGAGCCCCCGACTCTCACCGTGAAGCGCGGACTAGCCGACTGCGACGGTCCTGGGGGAGGGGGTTAGAGCGGCTCAAACACAGCGAGAGCCGTCGCTACCGAAGCCGTGGCGCATCTAAGCCGCCCCACGCCAGCCGCCGCCGCCTAGTGCCCAGGCCCCGCCCCGCTCCCGGAGGCCCCGCCCCCAGCCTTACGTCCCTATTGGCCTGACGCAGTCTCTTGGACTCTCCCATTGGTCCCTGGGCTCAATGGTTCCCCCAGGATCTTTCGCCTGCATTTTGTTGCAAACCACAATGCACCGCTCACGGCGTCGGTTGCCCGGGAAATGAACCGCACGCGGTCAGGCCCACACGCCTGGAAGGTGGAGCCGGGCGGGTCGCAAGAACCTATCCCGCTGAAGGGGCACGAGTGGGAAAAAACGAAAAGCCAACCACTGTCTTCGAATGGATTCGGACTCATTGCGACCCTTCGAAAGCACCAGCCACTCCGCGGGAGAAAGATGGAGCTTTCTACTCCGGTCTCGGGAAACTACAGGGACAGTGATGCCCTGCCCTATAGGGTCGCTGTGAGTCAGAATCGACTCCGTGACAGTGAGTTTTGAGTACGGGGGTTCCACAGGCGTCATCGTGAGGGAAGCAGAGCGGCTGGAGAATTCCAACCGCGGACCTTTGGGTTCTTAACTACTGTGCCGCCAGAGCGAACAAGCTCCTGCAAATTATGCAGCTGCTGTGCAGCGGGCTCTTTTTGGTTTGGGCTGATTTCTTAGGATCAAGAGGGAGAACTCCTCAGGATGGAGGTGGATTTCAGGAATGGTGGCGCCATGATTACACTCGAGGCTGCGAACCAACAGATCCGCGTTCGAAGCCACCAGCCACTCAGTGGGAGAACTGTGGCAGTCGGCTTCCTTAAAAGATGTCAACTTTGGAAACCCTATAGGTCAGCTCGACTCTGCTGTGAAACGTTATCAACTAGACAGTGAGTGAGTTCAGGAATGGGAAACTTTCCTTCTTAATGAAGAGATTTATCCCCAAGGGTGGGGACCCCATGCCAGCGATATTGGGCGTCTTTCAGGTGCAGAAGGCTCTGTTTGGATGGACTTGGGTGTGTGTGGATCCCAGAGATGGGGCATGTGTCCAGGGTGGAGCTTCTTGCTGGGGTGAGGTAGTCTTTCCCGTGTGAGAGAGTGTCTTGGTTGATTTAGCTTTAGGACAGAATTGTCCCAGTGAAACGAAACCTGGCCCTCGGAGGTGTCTTCTCTGGCTTAGGGAGACCACTGAGTTGGTTAAAAAGCATGGTTTGGGGCAGAGGTGGGGGCGCAAATCTAGATTTAAATCCAGCGCTACCATTTACTAGTGACTTGAACCTCAAATTCCTTACCTGTGAGTGGGACTCATTATAAAAGGACACCATTTCCAGGCATGTTGGTAACTGCTCAATGAATCTTTAGAAGGTAATAATGATTGTCTCAGCGGTTTGTACTTGAATTGCCCCCAGGGCCTCAGGAAGGTTTTGAACAACCAACCAAATGCCTGTAATGCATTTTTGAACGTTTGGAGGCAAGTTATCAGGTTAATCTATCAACCCAGAAGCTTCCTGTTTAATTTCTGGATTGTCATGTATGATTCCACTTACATGAAATATTTTGTACAAGGCAAGTACAAGGGGGCTTCAGAAAGTTCGTAGAAAAAAAAAATGATTGAAAAAAAACCCCACAAACACTTTGAAGCCCTCTCATGTTCAAAGACGAAAATTGATTAGTGGTTGCCAGAGGCAGACAGAACGTAGCGGGGGGAGGGAACCGATTGCCTAAGGGACACTGAGTTTCTGTTAAGGATGATGAGAAATTTTGGAAACGGATAAAAGTAATGATTGAATAAGGCACCCTGGTGGCAGTCATAGAGCGCTTGGTGGTTAACTGAAAGGGGGTCAGCTAGAACTCACCAGGCTGTTCCGCACTCAGGAGAAAGACCTGGTGATCCACTTTCACAAAAGATTAAAGTCAAGAAAACGCTCTGGGATTAAAACTTAAAAAGGACAGAAAACCCTATGGGACAGTTCCCTTCTGACATGGGGTCTGTCTGAGTCAGAATGAATTCCATCGCCCCCCAAATGAGAAAGATGTTTAAACAGCATGATGGACATAGCTAATGACATTGGATAGTCTGCATGCCGAAGGTTGATATGACAAACGACCTGTGGCACGTGTAATATTTATCACAATGATGATGATGACAAGCAGCTGCTCACTGAGCAGTTACTTATCTCCAAGTAGTGGGCTGCGGACATTGTCTCCACTCCTCACAACAGCTCTGCCTAGGACCCCTCCCCGCATTTCCCTCGTGGCTTAGCTTGTCTCCTCATTCAGGTCTCAGCTCAAATGTCACCTTTCTTGGCCTCTCCTTTTAAAACGTTGATGCGCTTCATTGGTGTTTTGTTTTATTTTTTAAAGCACTATGCAGTCTAAATATGGCCATAGGTCTCCATCAGGCAAACTCTGACCCAGCTGAACACCCTCTTTTTACAAGTAGGAAGCAAGGGTCCTGTCCCTTATTACGCAGTGCATTAGCTTGCTACAGAGCCAGAGTTTTGGGGTTTTTTAATCATTTTATTGGGGGCTCATACAATGCTAATCACAACCCATCCATCCATCCATTGTGTCAAGCACATTTGGACATGTGTTGCCATCATCATTCTCAAAACATTTGCTTTCTACTTGAGCCCTTGGCATAAGTTCAGAAGCCAGAGTTTTAAGACCCATGTTGGACCCCAAATCTAAGACTCAGGCACACTGGCTTGTTCTCGAGTGCCAGTGATTTTATCGTTGGGGGACTGGATGGGACATGGCTTATGGTGGGTGACACAGACATTAACCTTTTCGTTACTGAAATATTTTTTGCTTGTGAGATTTTGTAAGGAGCCCTGGTGGCACTGTCAGGTTAATGTGGTTCAATGCCATCAAGTCAGTTCCAATCCATAGCGACCTTGTGCACAACAGAGCAAAACACTGCCGGGTCCTATGCCATCCTGACAATTGTGTCTATGCTTAAGCCCATTGTTAAAGCCATGGTGTCAACCCATCTCCTTGAGGTCTTCCTCCCCTTTGCTGCCCCTCTACCAACATGATGTCCTTCTCCAGGGACTGGTCTTTCCTGACAACCTGTCCAAAGTAGGTAAGACTGTCAGATAGGCATTGGAAGACTAACCACCAGGTCTGAGATTCAAATCTACCCGTTGTTCCACGGGAAAGATTTACAAAGGCTCAGAAAATCTATATAGCAGCGGTTCTCAACCTGTGGGTTGTGACTCCTGTGGGGGTCAAACTCCCCTTTCATAGGGGTCACCAATACACAACAGTATCAAAATTACAGTTATGAAGGAGCAATGAAAATAATTTTATGGTTGGGGGTCACCGCAACATGAGGAACTGTATTAAAGGGTCATAGCATTAGGAAGGTTGAGAACCACTGCTATATAGGATCTCTAGGAATCAGAATCAACTCGGTAGTGGATCTTTAAGATTTTTTTTTAATCATTTTATTGGGGGCTCATACAACTATTATCACAATCCATACATCCATCCATTGTGTCATACATATTTGTACATCTGTTGCCATCATCATTCTCAAAGCATGCTTTCTACTTGAGCCCCGCTCCCCTCCATTCCCACACCCCTCCCATGAACCCTAGATAATTTATAAATTATTATTTTGTCATGTCTTACACTGTCCGACATCTCCCTTTACCCACTTTTTTGTTGTCCATCCCCCAGGGAGGAAGTTATATTTAGATCCTTATAATTGGTTCCCCCTTTCTTCCCCACTCTCACGCCACCCTCCCGGTATCGCCACTCTTACCACTGGTCCTGAAGGGATCATCCATCCTGGATTCCCTGTGTTTCCAGTTCCTATCTGGACCAGTGTACATCCTCTGGTCTAGCTGAATTTGTAAGGTAGAATTGGGATTATGTAGTGGGTGGGGGTGAGCACGAAGTATTTAAGAACTAGAGGAAAGTTATATATTTTATTGCTACACTGCACCCTGACTGGCTCATCTCCTCCTTGCGACCCTTCTGTAAGGGGATGTCCAGTTGCCTACAGATGGGCTTTGGGTCCCTACTCCACACTCCCCCTCATTCACAATGATATGATTTTTTGTTCTTTGATACCTGATCCCATCAACACCGCGTGATCACACAGGTTGGTGTGCTTCTTCCATGTGGGTTTTGTTGATTTTCAGCTAGATGGCCACTTGTTCATCTTGAAGCCTTTAATACCCCAGACACTATATCTTATGATAGCTGGGCACCATCAGCTTTCTTCACCATATTTGCTTATGCACCCGCTTTGTCTTCAGCGATCATATCCGGAAGGTGAACATGGAATGCCAGTTTAATAGAACAAAGTGTTCTTGTGTTGGAGTACTTGAGTAGGGACCCAATGTCCATCTGCTACCTTAATTCTAAATCAACAAATATATGCACATACAGAGGTAACTTTTTTCCATTAATGAAATGCATACAGAATCATTGAATGTTTTGATTTTTTCCCTTAGATATAGGTTTTTTTCTATATAGAATACATAGGTATAGATTTTTTTTCTGTATACAGCTACAGTAATCAAAACAGCTTAGTGTTGGTACAACAATAGATAGGAAGACCAATGCCTTAGAATTGGAAACCCAGAAATACAGCCAAGTACCTATAGACAGCTAATTTTTTATAAAGCACTTAAAACACATTAAAGGGGCAAGAGCCAGCCTTTTCAACAAATGGTGCTAGAAAAACTGGATCTTCACCTGCAAAAGAATGAATGATGAAAGACCCATACCGCACACCATGTACAAAAACAAACTCAAGATGAATCAAAGACCTGAGTATAAATCACACAATTATTAAGACCACCAATGAAAAATAACAACCCTAATACAAGACATAAACAGACTACCATACACGAGGAAAAATATCCACACTAAACAAGACAAAGAACAGGGACCTACTGAAATGATGACATTTATACACAGCAAAAGACTTCACCAGAGTCGATTAGAGAACCCACAGATTGGGGGTGGGAGGGATCAGTAATACATCAGATAAAGGACCAATCTTCAGTATCTGTAGAAAACTGCAGCAT